GATAGATAGATAGATAGATAGCAGAGAAAGCATGGACACTAAACAAATAGTTGGAACAGACAGAGGAAACAGGTGTTGGTGTAAGTGGAGCAGAACAGCGCTGTGGTATTTTGCTCAAAAATAGAGCACTTGAATCAATGGACACAGACACACACACACACATACGCTGAATGTCAGGCATCTTCAATGACAACCACAAGGTTAGCCTAAAGTTTCATGGTTTCAGAGCTGCACTGGCATTGTTTTAATAGACATCTTCAAACCTTAGAACAATAACAAACAAAAAAAAGAAATTGTCACAGCCGTGTCTCCATTATGGCGCTGAGGGTTAACATAAGTGAGATTGTGATCACTGAAATTGAATTTTCAGCTCCCTCTATTGCTTTGGTAGTCTGATGTCAAGGTAGATAGTTCCGTATTTGTTGCTATCGTCAAAATGAAAACCTCACACCGCCACCCGCTCTGACAGGGCTTTGTGTCAGGCTTGTAGCTGAACGCAGAGATGTACCTCACATTGTTCTCCCTCCCCCACGGTCTCACCTCCGTTTGAAGCCATTCACACACCTGAAAACAATAATGGCTGCATACTGAACTATCAAAAAGGGGCTACAGTGCTGTGTTTTTGTGTGCTGACATTGTTACAAAAAAAGCATTAAATGTGTGTGTGTGTGTGTGTGTGTGTGTGTGTGTGTGTGTGTGCAGTGTTTAGACAGTGATATAGCAGTGCACACTAGCAGAACACCTTTGCTCTCTGATCTGCTCTCCCATTGGCTGTCTGTTTCCAAGGCGACCTGCACGAGGTAGCTGATTGGAACAAAGACGCAGGAAGGTGTGTTCAATGTAAGGTCAGCTTTTTAGTGACCTTATTACCCCGCGATGATAGAGGATGAAACGGAGAGATCGAGGGAGAAATGTGGTAAGAGAGGAAGACTGCAGGCAGACAATGATGGCGGTATATGTGTTGATATGAGGCGTTTAAGTAACATATCCTAAATAAAGAGGCTTTATTGTTCAAATAAGGCTTATGTGGGGGAAATGACATTGACCTGGTTGGTATTCTATTGACTACATGGACACATGCCAGCACACACTCAGAGCCTACAGCACGTAAACACACACAAATGTGAGCAACTACATTTGAGATTCAGAGTATAGCTCAAGGTCTTGACCTCATTTAGTCTAAATAATGTTCAGCTCCCAAAGCACCCCTCTCCTCACTCCTTTTCTCATACTTCCTCCCTCTCTCGCTATTTCCTTCCCGCTCCTCTTCCATTCTCTCTTCCCCCACCCTTTTTTCCTCTCCCTTTCCTCTTCCTTCCTTTTCTTTATTTCTCCTCTCTCCCCCTCTTTTTCCTCCCTGTTTTGTCCGTCTGTGACAAGCAGACAAGTCATAGAAATATAGTGTTTTGCTCAGTGGGGGATGAATTTATTTAAAGCTGAGCCAAATACTGGAAGCAGATAATGCTGCCAGTATCAGCATGGGGATCAACAGTGATGAGAAAATCAATTTGGATAACATAGGAGGCTTTTATGTATCAGATATGCCTTGAAAATTTACCACAGCTCAGAGTTGCTGATAAGCTTTACTCGCTACAAAACCTCAGTTGTCACTGCCATTGACAGCAGTTTAGCAGAATGTCTTTATTTTGAAAGATTAAGGTGACCTCAAGCCACCTCCTGTCCGCTGCCACTTCAGCTAAAATGATTTATTATAAGTATTCACTTAAAGGAGACTTTTAATGTTACAAAGTCAAAATGTTGTTTAAAAGGCTTTCACAAGTTTGGGGAGTTTCCTGTCACATGCAGTAAAAGCTGAACTGGAGCCTGTTCTGTCTTCTGCAGGCTCATTGCCTCTGAAAATGACTTTTGGGTGCAGTTTTGTTAGTACCACTGAGCAGAGTGCAGAGAGCTGTGCCACCCTGCAATAGAGAACATTTGATCAGCTGTGACAGAGTGTGTTTCTCTGCACATCAATATCCTGTTAATATTCTGGTTGCTCAAGTATTCCGTTTTGGTATTGCTGCATGTAAACATAATATCCTGTTTGCAATAAGTCTGATTATATCTTCTCAAGATGTGAAAAACCCAAATAAGATAGCCGGGGGTGCAGCTGTATTAGCTATGGGGCTATGGCGTGTGTGTGTCTTATCTTGTTTATTGTTGGGATTTTAGGTCGGAGTAGGTCCAGTGCCTGCAGTTATATCTAGACTATCCTGTTAACTGTAAACTTAAGTATCCAGCATTTTGAGTTTTGCAGGGGGCTAAAAGGTTCTCCAGAAAATATATAAATATATGTCTGGAACAGGTGTTGATATGACTAACAATATGATAAAAAACAAACAACCCTCCTCATCTCTTAGCCCACAGTGTTGTATTCAAATGGAAGTGGCATTATCCTTGAAGGTAACTTTATTTATTTATTTTCTAGTGGACGATATGTTACTCAGCGTGACTCATACATTGAAGCTCAAAGCGTTCAGATTATTAAGTGAAAATGAGCAAGCAAGTTTTACCAAGGGTTATGTTTGGAAAATTAGCTGTAAGGATAAATTGATGACTTAATTATTATGATGTATATTATACATGTTCATTTAAATTGCTTTCATTTACAGTTTTATTTCATCTGCTTTCGTCTCTGTTTCTTTAGCTGACAATTTCACTTCTTTCATCAGAACTTACATATCAACTGACACTTCCACTGCTTTCATCTCTTACTGTGTAACTGCGGCAGTGTAACAGTGATTTCACTTCAGCTGAAACTTCCAGCCAAAATGTATCGCACTTTGATGATTTTAGTTCCTCTCAGTGTTTGAACTTGAGCTCTTCAACTTCTTTCAGCACTCAGCTTCACTCAACACAAGCAATTAAATTAACACTTTAATTTAATAAATGCTTCCACCTACACTTTCAACTTTTGAATGCTGCTTCTTTCAGTATTACTATTTCAAAGTCTTGCAACTGCAATTTCCAGCAGCCAGCACACTAATATTTTTAGAAATTGTTTCCGTTTCTAGTTTGAACTATTTTTGAGGAATAATTAACAATTAATAACGGTGATGGATCACAGTTTGTGTGTGACAGATATAAATGATTATTTTAGCTTCTTCCCTGTCCCACTTTGTTGCTGTAAACATTTCCTTTCCAGCTTCTGTCTGCAGGTCAGTCAAGATGAATGAGAGCAAGCTGTTTTCCCGGGTTTCTCAGACAGACACTGGTTCCTTTTTTCATTTTGTCTGTGGATTAGGGTTACCTAGTTACCGCAGCAAAACTGAAGGATGTTCGGTGTGACGGGTGGAAATGAAAATGGAAATAGCACCACTTCAGCATGGACAGGATCCCTGCCCTGATCAGCCTGACAAGCAATAACTTGTACAACTTCAGCACTTCACCTCACAGAGGCATGTACCTCATTCAGAGCAGAAACCATTTTTATGGGGGTTTTATGTGCATGGTGATGCACACTATCCCAGAAGGCAGGAAGACAAGTCTTTATCCCATTTCTCAAAAATACTGTGCAGCAGGTGCTTGTTGCCATGGTAAACAATGTAGTTAGCTATGCAAGAGTGAGTCAGCAAAACCTATTGGCATTATCTTAAGGCAGGGAAGAGTAATGGTATGGGTAATAGACTGTCAAATGTTCTTGCCTCTCCACGATAGTTGAGTGTAACATTTCCCCCTTCAGAGCTTGAACAGAATGTTCTGAACAAATGTTTGCAACAATAATGACTGCAAAGCAGGCTTCATGCATTGCAGATACACCCTCTAGTTTCAGAATGTCCTCACAATTTTTTTTTTTTGCCTCTTAGCATGCTAAGTATTGCTAATAAGTACTACACACAAAGTACAACTGTGAATGATAGGAATGGAACAGTTTTGCAGGTATTTAATTATAAACTTAACATTTTGACCCGATGGCGGCTCTACATGGAAAGTTAAAAAAGTGATTACAATTCATCCTGAGGGGGGCATTGACGCATGTACCACATTTAATCTCAATCACTCAAACAGTTTTGACAGCACATTTTGCTCAAAACCAAGAATGTGAACCTCATGGTGGTGCTGGAAGAAAAGTAAATGAATCACTAAAGTCATTAGGATACATTGGGACCATGAATATGTGTACCAAATTTCATGTCGATATGTCCAATATTTGTTGACATATTTCAGTCTGGACCAAAGTGGTGGAACAACCGATCAAACACAGGCAGATGTTGCAATCTCTAGAGCCACACAACAAGGGCATTGAAATGAGATCCTGGTATATGGACAACAATCGCTCTTTGTACTTTTTGTACTTTAGAAAATAAAAAAATCAATTACAGATGGATTTTATATTTGGCATTGTTGTGTTTTTTTTGACCTGAGTTATGAGGTAGCACACAGTATCAGGATATTTGGAAATGACTGGATTTAATACAGTGAATGCCTTCACATTAGTGCCCCAAATGATAAAGGCTGCCATAAAAGGGCAGGGCTAAATTTGCCATGTGGCAAGAAAATGCCATTAAACTAAAAAAAGATAACTGAATCATCATTCTCTCCTACAGTAATCAAGTCCCAAATGCTCCCTTAGCAGAGATTCTGATAGCACCTGGAAGTTTTGAAAGGAGCTCAGGGAGAAATTAGTTGAATGTCAAACAGCTGTTTGATAAGGAAGGGAAAACCTCCAGTATGCGTTCTGCATAGCCTGAGACCAAAAATTCATGTGTAGCATCATGGGAGGAGACCTTTTAGAAAAGCAAGGACAGATGCCATGGGCAAGGCAGTTATAGGTCAGTCACCCAGTGACGCAGTTTGTCCTCCACCAAGGAGGAAGGTGAGGTTGCATTTTGC